CTCATTCAAAAATATAATTAACACTGAGTGTTACAGAGGATAGTGGTTACACTCACACACAGCTGAGTCCAAAATTTAGGAGTAAGTTCTGACAAAAATGTTCAGATTGTAAAAAAGAAAACCTCCATTTAGACCAAAGAAGATGTCGATACTTCGGGGGGGAAAAAGCAAAGCAAGAAAATGCATTAACATTCGCTGTGTTTCCATTACAACTGTGCGCTAAACTCTGACAATATTCTGCTAAATGTCAGAAAAAAAATACCATTTCACAATTGTGTTTTCCTTAAATAAGAAACACAATTAAAACCACACATGAATAACTGTGTTCACGTGATAAGCTATTAAAAAACAGGATGCACCATCATCCTTCAACTACTTCCTGTCACCTTCTTCTTCATGGTTTGCACCAGTGGAGAGACCCTGTTGTTGATCATGTGACTCGCGATGCCTCACTGTGTTATAGTTGGCAATACCCCCCACTGCTACCTACAATAATCAAAAGTTTAAGTTCAATCCTTTATGACTTTCTTATCGCTCTTAAACTCGTCATTGTTCATGGTCAGCTCTCTTTATTGGCAGTATTATTCATACTGCCTCACACATATTTCATACACATGCCTATTGTACATAAACTATTGTACAATTTGGTTTTCCTTGTAGTTTAGCATCTTCAAGCATTATTGAGAAACTAATCAAATTTATCATTTAATTTTGTAGCAAAATACCAAATTTCACATCCCCTTTCCATTTTGGTCCAATCAACACTTATGAAAAACGACTAGTTATGATCACTGATCACTGATCAGACCAGAGTAACTCAAATTGACTTCCTACTGGTAGAACCCAACATGGGCACAAACTGAGACATCATCTTTCTGTCATCATTTTTCTTTTTGCTGGAATTCTTTCAATCACTTTGTTGAGGAAGACACCTGTGTGATCTCCTGACTCGTCTTCCTACCTTCAATTCTTTTGTTTTTTAAATCATTTTCATGTATTACCAGACACATCTGTGTCACACATCTTGTCAATAGAAATGGACAAATGGAGAAGGTCTCAAAAGTGCCCGCAGCAGAATGTTATCAGTGAAGGATTCTTTACTTCTCTCTCAGATCTGGTTGAAAAAGAAGTAAATTGAGGTTTTGTGATGGCCCAGGCAGAAAGCCGATTGAAATGCATTGCCAGGTTCTTAAGAGAGCAACTCAAACACGTTTCTACAAACCTGAAGGTGAAGCAATTTTGTTAGAACAAAACTGTAGGGTGAAATTCCTTCAATGACATGAGAAACTGAGCGATTCAGTTTAGCGTACTTGATTTTTTTTTTTTTCACACGCTGCCGCCATTTGGCTCAATTATTGTTCTATAAATATCGGCAGGCTGCAGTTTCTCATGTGTTTCTGTTCAGCTTGTTTTACATTGCATGCCGTGAACAGTGCATGACTTCACTCTGTTACGTTACCTTGACAGAGATCGTGCTTTGGTTTTACACGGTCACCCTGGATAATGAACAGCGTGAGAGCAGCTCGAGTGATTCTTAAAAAAAAAAAAAAATGTCTAGTTCAAACCAGACATGGGGTCAGAATTCGCAACCCAGCTTGTTTAGCTTCACCGTTCTCCATTTTCATTTTGAATAATGTTAATTCTGACTGGGAGTCAGAATTTTGTTGATTATTACTAAGAGGGGTATAAATAATTTTCAGCATATCATTTAATAAAATATAAAAACAAAATGGGTCAATCTACCAATTTGAATCATTATACATTAAAGAATCAAAGCAACACTCCTGACATGTTTTGGACGAGGGAATGACTTTATAACGTGACACTAAGCTAAAAAAATAAAGTCGATTCTACAAAGTTTCTTTGTCTAGCCTTTAAAGGGACAGTATCTTAGCTCCTTCAGACTAGCCAGCAGCATTTAGCAAACACCTGGTAGAGCTGCACATCTACTGAGCTCATTATAGGAGCTACTTCTCAGTGGAACTCTGGTCATCACATTGTTAAAGGGTTAATAGAAGAGCCATGTTGAGATGACTTCCTGAAGGTGGAGTTTCAGAAAGAGCAGGAGTTTTTTAAAGAGTCAGAGGGACAATTTCAAAGTCAAATTTCCCAAGTAATTTTTGATACGTCATTTTTTTTGTAATAACTGAAGGTAACATAGTTACTTGACTGTCTGTGCCATAAAATGACTAAATGTGGAAAAACACATAATTCCGCTTAACTCTGCTGCCAATAAAGACGTCATCCACCATCAGTTTGGAAGTTTTTCGTTGTTTCTGGCTGGGACGCTACATCCCGTCTCTGCTCAGTCTCAGCTCACCAGAAGCATCAGGTTGTTTGTTTCAGAAGATGTTATAAAGCAATTATACCGATCTGAGCACTGACGTTTGTCTTTTTATCTTCAGAAAGACAAATGTAAAGCTGCATTCCTCCATGGCTTTAACTGTTTTTGCCACTGTAAGCACACATCCTTCTGTGATCACTATGGAAACTAAGATCGGAGATTGAGAATAAACAACAGTATGCACACGTTGGGTTTCTCTTGAGTGCTGTAGAAATGCATTTGAAATTAAAACAAAGGTCCGCAAATTCTACGGTTGTGTAATCCACAAATACGCTGAAATTCTGCCAATGTCGTCAGCTTAAAAACAAAAATGGATGACGATGAACAAACGAGACGTCTCTCTGTTGTTTCTCTCAGAATATGAGGCATCGTGTAAATAATGCATCAAATGGCAAATGTGCATCTGTGACAGGTGTTGCAGAAAACAGTGTAAGTAATGCATGATCGTACACCTGGTGAGGCTTTTTTTTCTTCTTTCCCGGCAGACTGGAATAACGGCGTCAGATTCTCTTATTGGTTATGGAGACTCTGCCAGACGGCGGGGGAATAAGTTTTGTTTTCATGGTACAGTAAAAGTGACTCTTAATGACTAAACAAGCAGGGCGGCTCACAAAGGCTTGTGGCTGAAAATAGACTCTGACTTCTGATGCAGAGAGAATAAAGGAGGCCTGCGAGGCAGGAGGTTCAGTAAACAGGACTCAGCAGCGAGATCCGGCTGCAGAAAACAAGAGGGCGATAGTAGCAACAGGCTAAAAGGAAAACATTGATATTTATCGAGCATTGTTGGGGGCTTTTATGCTAAATTTGTTGTTGAGATTTTGGATTAAAAACAAAAAAGTTTAGTTTCAAGAGACCAGAACGTCCACTGTAGGGGATATTTCTTTCTGATGAAGGTTGTAATAAATTTTATCAGATGGATGTTGGAATTTGATTAAAATGTGTACGAAACGGCACAATTATTATCGTAACATTTTTATTTTTCATATTCTTCCCTCTAACAAACCTGCCAAACTCAAGGCCAGCCGTCCAACATACATGAAGTTTCGCCTTGTTCTTTTATGCAATGTTTGAGAGATCCTTTAATCTCCATGGCAACCATTCAGCTGTCGCCTCAATGAACTTAGGACCACCTTTGAGGCCCGGCTCCTCGTCAGAGCTGCAGTTTCCACATTTCAGAGATTCTGTCAGCTCCTTCAGACTCGCCAGCAGCAATTAGTAAACTCCTGTTGGAACTGTGCATCTGCTGAGCTCATTATAGGAGCTACTTCTCAGTGAAACGCTGAGTAAAACATTGTTTAAGGGTTAATAGAGGAGCCATGAGATGACTTCCTGGGGGAGGAGTTTCAGAAAGAACAGGAGTTTCTTAAAGAGACAGAGGACCAATTTCAAGGCGTTAAACTATTAAGTCAAATGTCTTTTAAGACATATTTCATATATACACCATTTTATAACAACTGAAGGTAACATAGTTACTTGATTGCTTGATTGATATAAAATGCTTCTATGTGCCGATTTAAGTTTGCATCTCCCTGTGAGCCCCAAGAAGAAGGCATCCTTTTCACTCTGGTGTTATGCTGATGTTTTATCTGTATCCATGACTCAGCTGTGAGGTTCTGACTCCAACACGCACTAAAGTGTCCTTTGGACAGATCACTCTGAGGACTCTTCAGTTCGTCTAGGGAAATGTCATCGCCTCATCGCTGCTGGCCTAGCCAATAATCTGAAAAGACAAAGGAGGTTAAAGGACAGCAGGTCCAATACTGATACCAATGATAATAAAGGTAATAGAAAGTGTCACGGCGTGTTGCGCATGATGCTGAAGGACAAATTGAGAAAATAATACAATTTATCAAATCAATGAAGAGCCAGAGCACAGATACAGGAGGGAGGCAGTCGGAAAATAAATTAGTGGAAAAGTCAAGGCCATCCAACCTGCGATTATCACATTTTAATCAAGTCAAGTTAATTTCACAAGATTTCAAAGTTGTTTAGCTCAGGACCAAAGGCAGGTGGGCCAGCATCCACTTCATCTGCTCCCAAATGTACCATTTGTCAAGCATGGTGATGGTAGAGTCATCCTGTGGTTTGATTTTTTTGTTTGTTTTTGAAAGGTACCGATCCGATATTAATATCTGTATCATTCACGACATTGAAAAAAAAATTCTGTATCAGGTATTGTGACAATGTGGCAATAAGGGCAGATCTACTTAGTGTAATTCTATGCCATTGAGCGACATCATGGGTTATTATGTATTTCACATTATATTTTGAATTCCTAATTGCACTTTCTGAACCATTTGAAAGAAATTTTGTTGCGGTTTATTTATTTCTTTTTACATGTTTGACCAAGAGAGTCTACCTATTTTGTTTTTGATAGTTTCAGTTTCTTCATTAATAATTTTTACATTGGCTGTTCTACTCCTAATTGCTCTGACTGAACTAATTAAAGTTGTGGTTGTCCATAAAATGTTATTGATTTTATGTCAAAACTTTCTTTTCCTTTCCTTTAAAGCCGTAGTATGTATCTCTATAACTGTTATTTGTTAAAACTGTCACCATGACACACACACACACACACACACACACACACACACACACACACAGCGTTTCACTTAGTAGTAAAATTCCTGAAATAAATTGACTTTTCAACAATATTCTAATTTATTGAATTGGTAAATATGTATATACACATACATCAGTGACTCGCGTGGCTCTCACACTGCTGAGATGTGAATAAAATCAGTTCCTTTTGCTTTCTGTTCTGAACATGTTCAGGTCCTGCTGCGCTCTCTCTGCAAAATGAAGTTAGTCTGTCTCACCGATCTTTGCGTAAGGAGAATGAAGTAGGAAGCAATTTTCTCCCGCGTGAAATCATAAACCGCCAGCTGATAAGTCAGCCTACAGATGATCAGTCTAACATAAAGGGGGGTGTCGGTGATACGGGGGTGACGTCAGGAGCGGGGAGCCGCGGCGCCGCTGAGCTCAGAGCAGGACAGGCAGAACCACCAGCAGTGCCAAGGAGCGCGCGCGCCCTTTCTCTCTCTTCCCCCAAACTCCTTCGCGAGCCAGAGGAGCGGAACCGGGAGCCGAGCGGGAGCGGAAGCGGCGCGGGGCATGATGAACAACAGGTCTGTGACTCCGCGGCTCGTCGGGGCCGGAGCCGTGGACCACGAGCTCGTCATCACCTCCACCTTCGGGACCCTGCTGTCCGTGGTCTACATCATCGGCGTGTCCGGGAACGTGTACACGCTCGTGGTGATGTGCCACTCCATCCGCTTCGCCACCTCCATGTACATCTCCATCATCAACCTGGCGCTCGCGGACCTGCTGTACCTGTCCACCATCCCCTTCGTGGTGTCCACCTACTTCCTGAAGGACTGGTACTTCGGCGACGTGGGCTGCCGCATCCTCCTCAGCCTGGACCTCCTCACCATGCACGCGAGCATCTTCACGCTCACCGTCATGTGCACGGAGCGCTACCTGGCCGTTACGCAGCCGCTGGACACGGTGCGGCGCTCCAAGAGTTACCGCAAGGCTCTCGCGTGGGGCGTGTGGCTGCTGTCGCTCGTGCTCACCGTGCCCATGATGGTCATGGTGGCGCAGACGACCAAGAAGACGTCGGACGGCGGCGTGAAGAGGATGTGCGCGCCCACGTGGGCTCCCCTGGCGTACAAGGTGTACGTGACGGTGCTGTTCGGCACCAGCATCATGGCGCCGGGCCTCGTCATCGGCTACCTGTACGTGCGCCTGGCGCGCACCTACCTGGAGTCGCAGCGCAACGCGGCCATCAGCAGCGGCGGCAGGCGCTCCCCGAAGCAGAAGGTGCTCATCATGATTTTCACCATCGTGCTGGTGTTCTGGGCGTGCTTCCTGCCCTTCTGGATCTGGCAGCTGCTGCCGCTGTACCACGCCGAGCCGCTGAGCCTGGCCTCGCAGACGCACACGTGCATCAACTACCTGGTGGCGAGCCTGACGTACTCCAACAGCTGCATCAACCCGTTCCTCTACACGCTGCTCACCAAGAACTACCGGGAGTACCTGAAGAACAGGCACAGGAGCTTCTACAAGTACACGTCGTCGTTCAAGCAGCGGCCGCCCAGCCTGCACTCCTGGGGCAAGTCGGCCTCCTCCAGCAACCAGTACGAGTTCAACTCCGAGACGCTGGTGATGGGGACGCTCAGGTGACTTCTTTCTTGGAGGAGGTGGAAAGATGGCTCCTAGGGACAAGAAGTGCTACAGGTGAGTATATATTTTTTGTTTGTTTGTTTGGATGTATTAAAAAGGAGGCCGCACCGTCACCGTGCGTAAAGAGCGCGCAAAGTTTGGCTTTGATTTTTAGTAGGCAGCGCGCTTATTAGTAGAACCTCAAGAACTGAAGCCTTTCAGAAATATTCAGACCGCTTTAAACTTTTTTATATTTGTCCTGTCAAAACCCCCAAATCCAATTCATTTTATTAGGTTTTTATGCGATGCATCAACAGACAGTATATTGCAGAAATACGACGAGAGAAAAAAAGGCAAATCTAAAATTTTCTTTTTTTACCAAACAGCTCAAACTCAGTTGGATTGAGTAAAAGCCATTTTTGAAGATTAATTTCAATTCTTACCACATATTCTCAGTTTATGTCTGGACTTTGACTGGGCCAATCAATGCACATGTGCACCATTGCAGTTTTCTGGCCGGTTGCCCAGATCCTCAAAAAACCTGGCCTGATTTTGGCAGATACCAATGATTTTTGTCACAGTGGGGTGACTACGGTTAACTGCAAATGTGCAGATCTGACCTGGTGGACTGGTCAGTCAGTCCAACGCCTCTCACTGCAGAGCTGAAGAGGACAGTGGTTGATTTTTAGACCTTTGCTGATTGGTTGATAAGATCGGCCTCACAAAATGGAGGAAATGGGGGTCGATTACCCTCCTTAAATATGCTTTCATCTAAAACACAAGTGTCAAACTCAAGGTCCGGGGTCCAAATCCGGCCCCCCGTGGCTTTTTGTGTGGCCCTCTGGACTCCAGATGCCAAGTTACAGAAATCAGTCCTTCCAGTTAAACTGAATACAAGTGACTGGGATTAAAAGTCAAGCTGTTCCATACAGGACATAAGGTTTTCCACCCAGGGCAGCATGACGGAGAGAAAAATTGACGGCTTTCAGTTGTGTCCCAAACTGGTGTCACGGTAGATTGTTTTTATTTTTTAAATTATGTTATCACTGTGTACGGGAAATATGAATCGGAAAAGTAGCCAAAAGCTCTAAAATATCCTGTGTTTGAATGACAAAGTCCAATCACAGTCCTACACCTTCCACAGGTTCTTATTTTTTTCATGTGTAAATATCAACAACTATATATACATTTTCTCCCACTTCACAGTATTGTACCACAGAGTGTTGGTCTATGAATTTTGAAGTTGAAACATGAAAAAATGAACGGTTCCAGAGGTATGAAGACATTTGCATGTAAACATGTAAACTCTTTTACTCTAGATAGAAACTTAATAACTACATTGTGGAGGTAAAATAGTATTTAAATCCATCTAATGTAGGATCTACACAGTTTAATCCAGGACTGGTTTAAAGTTCATCTTGGTGGTGAACGAGATAAAAGTGACTGTCAAATGAAATAATTAGCAGAAATCATTGTTTACCCCTGGGTTCAACCAAAGAGCCAGAGAAACAAATCCAATCGTTTTTGCATGGTCCTTTTGCAGCTCTGTTTCGCCTCGTGGTTGCTCAGCTCTTCAACTCTTAAAAACAAACCTCGACTAAAACTTTCCCTGTGGTTAACGCGCTGCAATTAAAAGCCCACAAAGACCTTTGATTAGTTCGAACATTCTCCCAGCAGGCATCAGGATTCATGAGGGGCTTTGCATTATTGACTCACAATAACATGACGTGGGTGTGTGCGTGTGTGTGTGTGGAAGGTGATGTGTGATGTGACTAAAGAGGTGAGGAGGACTGCAGTGGTTGATGCGGTGTAGGTGTGAATCTGGAATCCGTCCCGTCCTTCTGGGATGATCTGAGCTCGTAAACTTGTCACAAGTTGTTTTCTGTTCCTGGGTTGACCAGCTGATGGCTGGACAGCCTGGAATCACAACGTCCTCCAAAGACCCAGGAGGTCGGGAATCCGTCCCGGGGTCGGGTTCATTTATCACAACAAAGTTGGGTTATGAGTTTGACCTGGTTAGGTTTTTAACCCAAAAACTTTGTTGAAGTTACTAATTCCTGCTAACAGCAAAGAGTGGATTGAAAAGAATAATCTGGATTTAGGCCCGACACAGTGGGGAGAATGAAGCCTGTGGACATTAGCTTCTGCATTAGCGCCAAGACGGTTGTGTATTAATGCATATTAAGGTGTATTTTGTGTTTGAACTATTGAAACAGGCAGGTATAAGTGATTTTATTCCTCTATACATTCCTGGAATAGAGGAATGTGCCTCTATTCCAGAACAACTGATTCAAATGATTGCATGACCACCAAGTACTGCAGAAACCTGTTGATGTCCCGGAGATACAATTCAGGTGTGTGGCAGAAGGGAAATAACGAAGACATGCAGGACAGGGGGGCGGTGAGGACCAGGGTTGAGAAACACTGCACTAGACGTTGTGGATTGTTGTGGTTGTGGTCATTAACCCATATGAACACTGGGCCTCCACCGTAAACGTCTCTTTATTCTAAAGATCCTTTAGTTTACAGACAAAAGGAGTTTCAGAGTTCACAATTGACAAACTGTTGCTAGTGTATGCAGGCTTAGCTTAACAAGTTTAAGTGTATAAAGGAATACAATGAAAAACATCTGGATGAGGGATGCAGAAACAACTCGTGGTTTCTGAGAGGGAAAAGACACGGAGTGTAGACAGAAGGAAATGAAGGATATGGTGATGCTTGTCTGGACACGTCTGCTGTGGTCCTCACACCCAGCAATGAGACAAGGAAAGCATCACATTTTCTCTCCTTATGAAAATGATCTGAATGCAATCTTGAGCTGTGACATTTTCAAACCAATGTCCCAGCATTGGACCGGCGGAGGAGGGGGAACGTTTCGGACGGTATGGTATATGTGTGCAGACTCATGCATAAATTCATTGGAGCCAATTTCTCCGTGGTACACAATGTCAGAGAAGACAGGAAGCGATCCAACTCTTTTTGTACGTTCAAGATTCGTGAAAAATTCAGGGTTTTTTTTGTAGGAGGTTGTTTATGTTTCTCCTGAGTCCCAAAAAAATATTCTCATCCTCTGAACTCATGTGATTTATTAAATATAACTGACTAACTCATAAATCAGCACGAAGACTATAAACGTACTCAAGACTAATGTGGCAAACAGCTGGTTCTACCCACTGAAACAGAATAAACATACTATTCCCCCCAGAAAATGACCTAATCTCCAATCACTAGTCAGGAATTTGATCTATTATTAAATGTTCTGGTTGGATTTGTAAGCAAAATGGACCAAAAAAAAAAAAAAAAAAAAAAAAAAAAGAACCAACAAAAAAGTGGGGCCTTTTAATAAAAAGA